AGAACAACGACGATTTATCACATGACATCCAAACGCGGAGGATAGGATTAACACTTAGGAAAATTAAAAGGATTAAAAAATTATAAAAAAGGACAAAGTATCGTGGGAGCGAACTCTGCTGTCGCTTAATCTATAATGCGTTCGATATCGTAGAATAGATAACAAGAGAAACGAAATGGAAACCGAACGATCGTGTTGTTCTTTCTCCGCGAACATGAACGAACGTTTGCCGAAACGAGACAAAGCTGGAACATAGCGCGATCGTTTCCCCCGATCAGGGGCTGTATTAATTATTATTCGAGAATTACAACTGGACGTTACCTAACGAGTATCAATATTTATATCATATTTAAAATATCGCATCGAGTCTCTACCTCGGTATCATTAATCACACTTCTTTCCCGTAAGTCTGGAATTTGAATCTACTCAAAATATATGGTTCGTACATTCGATGAAAACGGAGGAATAATTACTAGATTCCAGCTCTGGATGAATTCTTCCGAACAGAGACTTATTATATCGAGCGACGAAGACGTGCAAATTATCAGACTCGAGACTACAAAAGTGAGTACAGTCTACTCGACGTTCACGCGTTGCTAATACTTAATTCCTCTGTGTTCGATCAACAATCTGGTGCAATCAACTATTTAATCTAATCTCGAATACGGTGATAAGTACAAGAATAATTTGACTCTAGCACAGTAACGTTCAAGCTACGAAACAAATGTTACAGATAACTTTCTACAATAGATTCTCGACACACGTGTACAGGTTAAATCATTTAACCGTGTCACTTGAATTCACCTGTAAACCGCTGCAGAAAACAATGTTTCAAACGAAAGTTATTTGGCATCGAGTACATCACTTTTTTTACAGTCAAACATTTTTCTATACAATAAGCAGCTTACAAATCAATTCTGCTGACACGGTTAAACGTTTCACCCTGGGACATCTGTAAAAAATGGACCGTCAAAGGGTCTACACTGAATCCGATAATTTGCGCGTCTTTGTATATTCCAGCACTGATTGAATTCAGTATGAAGAGGCCAGATGTGCGGTACAAGGGTCACCAGGAACAAAGATAAATGGAGCAGTTTCCAATCGGCATTAGCCCTCAGGAGACGGACGTTCTCGACGACTTCGCGGACAGCGATGCCTGGGACTGTTCAAATCTCTTAATTATCAATCTTGGTAGATATTCCTTCAAACGTACTTCTACGAGACGCGTTGGTCTCCTGAACCACTTAGCTTGGAATAACGTTTCCCACGTATAATTGAAATCGCAAACCGACATACTCGACATCCTAAAAATCTCTTCCTCGTCCCGTCTTACTCTACAGGACGCAGCACTACATTAACGACAAAAACAACGCGCATTTCGTAAAAACAATCAACTAATTTCAAGCATCGCGAAACCAGGCAAATATAACTCACGCAGTGCTCTACCGAATTCCAATCTAAGTGGTGGAATCTAACATAATTAACTGGCAACTTAAGTAGGGGACAAAAAGGTAAGTTAACACTAGAACTACCGCGAGGATCACAGCGATTCCTCGATCTCTTCCTGTGCAATTACTGAAAAGGTAGACACCTTTTCGAGATACGATTAAAGAAGCCGACTCAGCGATACCCAAATCGAGATTCAAGCCAATTGATGTCTTAACCCTTTGCACTCGAAAGACTCCCAGTCGCCAGATGATTGAAACTGTAGATGTAGACAATCAGGATTCATATTCGTGTAATTGGATCAACGAAAACCGATTAAGACATTTACCAAATAATGTTTATAAAATTCAATCTGCGCGAAATTGACGCGTTCCGTAGACCTAGTGTTAATAAATTGATTTCAAAGTATCTCGCTACATCTAATTAGAACGTATCGGATATCTCGAGCGAGAATCTCTCGAGTGCAAAGGGTTAATGAACCCACGTTCGTGGCTTTCATTAAAAAATGTGGAAAATGTTCGAGTGGTCGGTAGTTCTATTATTAACGCATTGCGCACCGGTAACGAGAAATCTCGTTTTTATGTAAAGACACTTAGCTGTGCAACTTCGGTAATTACCACAGCATTGAAAAAATTTAAAATTTAATTCGAATTGATCCATTTAAAATATATTACATAACAATACGATATCTGAGTTTTTCTATGTATAGTGATATAAGTTGACCTCAGTGAAAATTGCTATCCGCACAACTCAGTTTTCTGAAAATTAGCCGGTACGCAATGCGTTAAACGGGGTGTTTGAAAGTCCGGGCACTGCCGTCTCGGTGGTTCGACCGTTTAATCGAGTCCAACGTCGTCCTGGGGTTGCGGGGGCATCGGGGTGCTCGTCGGCGTTGCTCCAGCAGCCCCGGCTGCTCCTGCCGCTGCTGCGGCCGCCGCGGCCGCTCCGGGGAAGCCCGGCATGCCGCCCATTCTTCCAGTACCGACAGCGTCGAACTTCGTGGCCATCTTGTCGATGAGCGCCATTATTTTCGGGTTGTTCTGGTACTTCAGTATGTTCATCGGCTTCGTGGATAAGTCGTTGAACGCCTCTGCCACTTCGGGATCCTTGAAACAACATTTTATTTTCAATTGGTAGCTAAGATCGGACAGCAATGCAGAGTATGAAGTGATCTTTGCACCCGAATGTTTCAGCACGTAAACATTTCACGCTTTCTTGTGAGATGTATATAATATAGGCATAACATATGCTTAGAATTTTTCTCTTTTTCCAATAAATTATTAATGACAAAGTAGTCGTATAGATCAGAGTTGAGGAAGAAATCATAGGCCAAGGGGTTAAGGAGCAAAGTTATTTCGTTCTGATGTATTCCACACTGATCCTGGCTCACCTTGAAAGCTTCGAGAAGCTCGTTGTCGTAGAGGAACTTGTAAAAACCGCCCATGTCATCGCTAGGCTTGCTCTGAGAGCTGCGGGTGCTGTCTTCTTGAGTTTTCGCGCTCTCCCGTGCTCTCTTCAGCCTCTCCTGCTTCTCGCGTTCCAATTTCTCCTCCGCCTTGCGCTCTTTCTTCCTCTTGTGCTCCTCGATCTTGCGGGCCTGGAAGGATCCGATATTTCTCTTTCAAAACTGTCTTACCATTCTAACAATTACTTATAATAGTTCATTGATTTCGGCCCATTCAAGAGTCACGGGAACATCGCAGGATGCGAAGTGATTCATCTTCGCGTTACGTAACGAACTGAATAACCGAGGGTGAAACCATTCGTCGAACCGATGCCTGTGTCTATGGTGTCATGGCGACCACCCGATGCTCCCGTGAAAGGTGCAACCTTTCGATTGTACACACCTAGGAACCTGTCCAAATTCTAAATCATAATGACGCGAACAGGCCTGCCCGAGCCGCATTGTGACCTCACGCGATTAGTGGCTTATTATAGATCCCGAAGCAGCCAATTTGGCCAGTAAACTTCGCTCCCGTACACTTTTACCCCCGCTTTCGTTGCTACAATGTTCAAAAATGTTCCAGTCGAGCTCGGATTCGAGGGGAAAACACTCGAAGCACGGTGGCAGCCGACTTTCACTCGCTTCATCGAGGGGAAACGATAACTGATTCCCTTTTACGTACTCTTCAACCGTACAGTGCTGACGACAAATTCCTCGAGCACCTATTTCAGTTTTGATTATCGTAAAATTTGGATCTTTTCGGATTGTTCCGTCGAACGGTATAACAGCGACCAATATTTTCTTATTAATACTACTACTACTCTAATATTCGCAATAGTAACAACATTCTATTACTTTACTCTTCTACTCTTCTACTCTACTTTACTCTTTTCCATTTGCATTTCATTTCCATTTCCAACATAAGATCCAGCAGGAATCCGCGCGACAAACGCCGAGGCGCAGGGCGGGGTGCGCGGAGCGGCGGATAAGGGGACGATAAGAAGAAAGTGCAGGAACGAATGGTGGAGAGAGCGAGCGACCGCGAGAACTTTTGCACGAGGGAGCACCACCTTATACGGCGGCGACCCGGGCTTCTAAATATAAAGGCGCCCGTCGCCCCGACGCACTCCTCTCTGTCGGAGCGCACGCATTTCGCCGCGAATCTCTTCTCCTCGCTGGCCGCGTTCGGCCGCAATAAGAGGCCGCTGGAATCCCGCCGATATTACGTTACCGCGGAACCATCGGACGCCCGTGAATTTCCGGGGCCGACCCGCGACTTCCGGCCGTCCGCAACGCGCTCACCAAAATGGCGTCGCGTCGCCGCGTGCCCCCGGAATTTCTACTCGGAAATCTAACGAGTTCCAACTGGATTGCAAACGTATTTTTGTACGATGTGGATTTGTCCATGGTATAGGATTTTTTCATGTTTTTTCGTCTACTTTAGTGGAGCAAATAATATTCTATTGTTGCAGAGCCTATGCTTCGGGGAAAGACTTTATATGAGTTGATGATGAGCTAATTGATACATCAAATGGATTCTCTCGATTTTTGTTTTCTGTATTAACTGCATTGGCTTCTGAGCGACTTACAAATATGGAAATATAAATATGTAAACATGAAAGTATAGTAAATGATTCAATGGTTACTTCATTTCGAATGATCAGTGAATTTGGTAACAGTTTTTGGTTAAGTTCGTAATGGAGATTCGATTTGAATCGGAAGTATTGGCACTCTGCGAGTGCCATTGATGTTACTGCTGCTATTGGCAGGAAGCTTGAGGAGTTTTCTTGATTATAAAGTTAAATTACATTTTTGTTTACAAGAAGGAAAAGAATTTCTTCCACGAGACCTTGGAGCTAACGTCGATTCATTCTTCGGGGTTTCATTTAACACCTCGTGTTCCGTTCATATGAGAGTTCCATTGTTACGCCTTCCCACGCAAGCGTATCGAAATTTGAATTGAAATCGTGAAACACGATAACTCGAGAGTACACGTACAGATACGAGATACACGACAAGTTTAGAATAGAATATTTCTATAGCGAATACAAATACAGACCATATTTAACTAAATTCACAGTTTTGCAGTAATTATCAATGATATATAACAAGATATATACAATGCAGAGTTATCTCACGCTTTAATTCATTAATAAATATCAACACAGACCAATCTCTCTCTATGACCTTGCGAACTAATACATCGAATGACACTAATTTCCACATAAACTTGAAAATTAGTATCTCCGCTCTCATATCGAACAAACTAAATGTTTCTGAACCTACGGAAACCAAAAAAATCGGAAGAGCAATATGCTACGATGAATCCCAATACGAAAAACACTACTGTAACCCCTCATTTTCTCGAATTTTCCACGAATCGTTTCAACGAATACACCCTAAACTTTCTAGCACACCTTGCTCCCCTCACAGAAAGAGAAAGAGAGAGTGAATCTCCGAAATCAGCCCGCGGAACGCGTGAAAAGTGGATTCCTTCCGATTCCCGAGACGACCTTGTCCCCGTATCACGCGTGTATTTCGGGAGCCGAGTAAACGCTCGCAATTAGCCAATGGCGGGAGCAATTATTTCCCGTCGATTCCTCTAATTTCAAACAATCATCGCGCCGTTCCGTCAAACCCAGTTGCTGCGAGTCTCGGATCAATTGTATAATCATGATCGGGTATATTTACACGCGAAGCGTCCCAATTCCGTATTCCCCCGTGGTTTCCGGCTCGTCCGGCCGTCACGCTCGAGAAATACTTATAACCGGCGAGGCAAACGGCGCTCGCCGGCGACGGGGCGCACGCTCGTAAAAAGTAAAGAAAGCGGATCGTGAAAAGAGGAAAAGGGTCGGAGGCGCGAGAAGAAAACGAGGTTGACGATGACGCGCGTCGCGGCTAGGTCGAAGCGTGTGCAGGACCCTCCGAGAGCCGCTAGTCAATGTCTCCGCGGCCTGTCGGCCAGGTAGACACCGCAGACCCGAGAAAACTGGGCTGCCAAGAGGTATTTTTAAAACTCTCCGCTCCAACCGCCGGTATCTTCGGATCGGACGAGATAAAGATTCGGTGATTCAGTGGTGGTCGCGTAAACCACTCGGCCGACATATGCGGAGCCTCGGTAATCCGGGGTAACGCGGACCCACCTCGGACAAATGAACGCTCGGATGAATTCCGATCTCGAGGAAGAAACAGATCGGTCGGATTCGAGCCTCCAACCGTCTAGAACCTTAATCTCGAAGCGCCACTATCGACTGACGGGGGAATGAACTTAGTGTTGTAGGTTCTCCAATTAGGACATTACCGAAGTACAAATATCCTCTAGCCGAAACGATGATCGATCACCCCAGAAATCGGAATTCCCGATCTCTCCTTACCGATCGAGTCAGCGGAGCCTAATAACGAAAACAATCTGAACTCGGAAGCACCGAAAGCCCCTCGCGTTTCGCCGGTTTAATTTTACTGTCCATTAGCGGCGAGCACGCGGCCAGAGGGATCGAGAAAATCGAGGAAGAATCCCGGCGCGTCGGAGACGGAACCGAAACGGAAAGAAAAACGGGGGAATGGCGAGAAGAAAGAGAAAAGGGAGACAGCGGTGCTAGCGGGCGCGCACGAGAGGAGCTAACACGGCGAGGAGAAGAGTCGGTGTGGATCGCGGTTAGAGAGCTAGTGGTCCGCGGGCTCTGTGGGGTGAGAAGTAGAGGGGCGTCTGTCGGGGTTTGGCGGTAGTGACAATGCCAGTTCCCTCGCGGGCGAGTTGGAGTCGAAGGCGACTATCGAGTGAGACGAGCTGCCAGCCCTGGCTCATCGTGTAGTGCCTAGTGAAACGAGATGACGGGCTCGCGGCTGAGACCCGCGTTCTTCGTGGGCCTCTTCCTGGCCCTTCTAGCCGTCGCCTTACAGGGTGAGTTGCGCACACCGTCTACCCCCTTCACAATGTGTCCCGTGATCGACCTAGGGACTGGTCTCGGTTCGACAGCCTGGAACCGCTCCAGAATCGTTCGTTTAGCTAGACAGTGGGTAGCTAAAGCTAGCTAGCTGGTAGCTAAGGCTAGCCGTTAGATGATCGATAGGATATCAATTATAATTCTTTCTTCTGACACTGACTTTGACTAACGAATGACGACGCGAATAAATGGGCATAGGAGTCTGGAGGGTCTCTAAAAATGCTAGACAGTTGGGCACTTTCTGACTCGAAGAAGACGCGTAGGGCTAGGGCCATCGATCCATAATTACGTGGTTTTCAGGAGTGATTCATTATCGCGAAGGTTGAGTGACTAAAGTCGCTTTTAGCAACGGTTCTGTGTTTCAATCATTCTTATTAATAACCTAACCCTCTTCCGCGTGTTGCCGCCTTGAACTGGTTACCCAGTTAGGGGTTGCTGCTGGTTCCCCTGGCGCTGTGTATTAATTTGATTACGGTAGTAATGATTAACGAAGACCACGGAAAAGGACGCGTGTTAAATAAGACGAAATCTCTCCGAGCGACATTACGAAATTGTAGATCATACCGCTTGCTGATTAATCTGGAAAGCTCCGAATGTGAAGCATAATGATACCAATTATATTATTGGCGACGCGTACATCCACGAAATTCCTACAAATACTCGTGTGTCGTGGCCAACGTACGCTCACGCAAAGTAACACTCGGACCCGACACCAGAATAGTCACAAAGTTTCTACAATGTAGCTGACATACTCCCAACTCAACCGGTTCGCGTTGGTTCCAAGTAGACCGAAAACTGATGATAATAATAATAGTGGAGGGTGAGCAAGCGAGTACCTTCTTTCGTCGCCCTACCCTCTTGACCTTGCGCCGCCATCTTTTCGCTATTTCCATCGGGAAAACCGACGGCATTTACGATCGCGAGAGCTTTCATTGGCACCTGACGGTATTAATAGTCGCATAGTTTGATTTTCGAAATAGATTTCGACCGATCGACGCTTTCTCTCGATGGTTGAACGATCGTGCAGTGGAGAGATCAGTGATTCCCGTGACGTAAACGCGGTCTCTAGTGTATCTCCCTTCGCTCGTCGTCGGCGACGACAACTGTCCCTGACTTCGATCGCTTTATCTAAGCTTTTTCATTGGTCAACCTGAATCTCATGAATTTACCACTTTGCACTTGACTGACTCACTCGATTCGACGTCAGTAAACTTGAAAGTTGTATATTTAACATCGAGCGTCGTACAATCCATTGATGCGCGAAACATTCAAACAGAATATCTTTATTGCACGATGTATTAATTCAAGCTAATTATAAAAAGCATCGTCTATATCGATATCAAACTATCATTAGAGAACGATGAACGTCTCTAGCGAGGAACTTGCAAGTGCGAAGGGTTCAACGAGAATCCGACAACTCGTGGTCGTCGCTACAGAGACGAATTCGCGCAACGCCGATTGTTGTCGCGGTATTTTTAACCAGCGTCACGCGTCCGTTTGATTTTTCGTTCGTTAGCGCTAATTGCGGGATAGATGAAGATCGACGCTCGCTCTTCAGGTTCTTCCACTCTCCGTCTTGTCCTCTTCGAATCGTGTTCGATCGGCTTCGCGTTTTCGATACTGCCTGTATACTTCGATTCCTTAATTAATGTCCTTTAAGCGTCGGCTCTCAATCTTCTCTCCCTTTCACTCGTTTCTTGTCGACTCGATTCGAAGTCATTCAAGTGAGGCCGCTTTAGTCATTCGATGATGGTTGCAAAGGACTCCATTCGCTGAAACGATTCATATTCGTGTAATTGGAAAACCGATTCATTTACCAAATAATGCTTATAAAATTCAATCTGCGTGAAATTGACGCGTTCCGTAAACCTAGTGTTAACCAATATCCACCGCGTCCCAAATCGGAGCATGTCCTACGTTCCTCGAGTCGCGCGAAGTCCCCGAAGAAGCGTCGTCCTCGGGACTCGTCCGGCAGCCATCTCGGGACAGTTTTCTAGGAGTTTTAGCGGTCGATGATGCGGCGCGGGCGCTGACGAACCCGGTGACGACTGACGAAGGTCAATGTTACGTAAAGCCGGCGGCACGCGTCATCGGTTCCTGGCCCGTTCGACATCGATGAACCGATGAACCTGCGATCCGATCGCGTCGTCGTTTATCGTTCCCCGCGGCGATACATCGGTCTGTTGACGGTTCCGTCTGTTCGACGCACGTGACACTTGTTGAACGAGCCGCGTTACCTTGGCGCACGCGGCGAACAGTCTTCGGCCGGTTTATATTATTAGGCCGCACGGAAATAAATTGCGGTTTTCGGTAATCCGATGTTTCGAGCCTCGTCCACCGATTACTCGTTTCACTTTCGATTTGTTTTGAGAACCTCGTGAAACGCGATTAACGCATCGCGTACCGGCTAATTTTCAGAAAACTGAATTCTGCGGATGACAATTTTCACTGAGGCCAACTCATCTCGTTTCTCGTTCGCTCGCGTTGAGTTCCCTTTTTTGATACCTTCTTTCTCTGCTTGCAGTATTTCCTTAGGAATCTCGGTTTTGTAGGTATTTTCGATCAGTTTTTCGTTGCTTTGTTGGATTCTAGTACTGCTGGGAATTCGCAGAAATGTTCTATTGGTAGGCAACGTGGTTCATACTGGAACTACTGAAACCGAGTCGATCTTTCTTAATTTTTGGAAATTTCCTGACAGTATCGACACCACTTATATCATCCGTGCGTTACTGAAATAATTCACTTTGAAATTCTTTAGGGAAGAATTTATCCTTTCGATAATTGCGAAAGAATCGGGGAATTTCGATTCATCTGGTAGCTTCAGTGCTAGTAAAATAATGGTATCTCATTTTGTACCAGTCAGAATCCATAGCATTAACTTCTCAATCGAGCTAGAAATGTCTATCGCGATATCAAACATTAGTAAGTAGTCATAATGAAATACTTTTCATTATCATCTCAAATATCAGTGAACAGTTTAATTCCGCGTCGATTATCGTGACGGAGGGCTGATGACGGTGTCGGTGGAACGTAATCAAGAACGTCGGAGACGGTGCGACGATCGAGGAAAAAGTTTTTGATCGCGGATTCAAGGATCCGTTATTTTGGGAATCGATGGAAACCGACTGTCAACAACTCGCAAATAATTACATAAGGACGGCCGGCAAACCGGTGCCAGATTCGCTCTAAATACCGCGAATCTAGCCGTGTATTCCGTTTAGAGATGTGTTCGGAGGTAACCGTGCGAGATTCACGACCGGCGAATTCGAAGTCGTTCGCGAATCTATCGTAACTCCGCGACACGTCACGATAAACAAACATCTCCGGTCTATTAATAGCCGCCAGGGAAAACCTTGAAATCCGCGGTAAACTTTTTCAAAATCCTCTGAACCGGATCGAATAATTCGGAAAAACAGTCTTGGATTTAAACATTTATAATCGAACATTCAAATATTAAGGAACAATAACGATCAAACCTCGAGCTTCTAAAAAAGATATTGAGTCAACGAGTCATCGATCTTTTGTGTCTCTATTTATAAGATCCTTTCTTATTTACATCTCTCGATATCGAACCGATGGCGACACGTTTGCTGAAATATTTCAGAATCTACGAGGAATTCGGTTTACTTTATCGACAGATTCGTTACCAATATTTCTCGCACAATTCGATTTTTCTAACGGAACGATCAGACTATGCACGCCGCGTACCGCGGGACAAGACTTCGGATTCTATCTTTATCCCCGCTATGCTTGCCAAACGACAGCTGCTTACCTCTGCTTCCATTACCTGTATCTTGACATTTTCACGGATTATTTTCCGACCGCACAATTTCAACATATTGCCTTACAGATCGCTCGAGACGAAAATTAATACTTCGCCGCGATCCGTTCCTCGAGCGAAAACAAAATTCGGCCTCCCCGTTCTGTCTGTCGATGATAGAACTAAAACATCGTGTACGTTTTTTAAGAAAAATTAACTATAATATTAGAACTTCAACGATAACCGTGTTTTCACCTCGGAATTGAAAATCCGGAAGATATTCTGCTTCCGTGTTTATTTCACCGGCATTCCCTGAATATTCGAGATCAAAAGAAGATTACTAAACTCATTGAAAAATATTATCAACGATAATTACCATAAATTCAATTATGAATTCCTAGTATCTTATTACTCTTACGTGTTCCGCATTTTTACGAATTCCACCGTAATAAAGCGACAAACGAGATGCTTAGATTCGAAGCTCGTTTTCAGATTGATTTCGAATGATCTGTTTCGCGTAATTAGGCCGCCGACGAGTCGTCGCAGAACTGGGTCTACAACTTATCAATTTAACATCTCAACCTACTCTCCTCCCATGCACTTTGGCGTTCTTTCCTACCGAGCAACAAAAGACCGAAGCACATAAAATGATAAAGCCGGGCTCCCGTGCCAAAAGTAGCATCGCGTGTGATGTAATGTTGAAATTTACGGGCTGGGCGCAAACCTAAGCCGCGTAGTATTTTCTCGTTTGCTCCCCTCCCCCGTCGACCAATTAAATTCCACTTTGTTCCACCAATATTCGGACTATTCCCATTTCTTCGCTATCGAACGCCAAGACGATACAATTCGTGCGCCCTGCAGGAACGGATCGAGGCGACGAAGTTCGATTTTCGTTCCCGGAGATGTCCCGCGGCGACAAGATGGCGTCCCCACCGTCCCGGACGGCCGGCTCGCACTTTTCCGCGGCGAATAACCGATAAAAATACGTTTCGCTCATCGAATATATAAATATTTTCAAGTGTTGCTCGGCTCAAAGCCGCCTACTCGCCGCTAAACTTAGAAACCGGCCTGGTCCCAGGTACCAACTGCCTAGAAAGATGATATCGACATTTTCATCGGCCGAGATTTTACGTTCCCGCGACGCGCGTTATGACACCAGAACTCTAGAATCTAGAGCGCAGACCGTTAGGAACCGAGTCCCCGACGGAATAATAAAGTTGCTAAGGGACCGACCGAGCCGCAATGCCTGGCCGACAACTGGCAACGGTCGAACGCTACAAATTCGCTACCGACATTCCTCCATCCTCCGCGTCGGACGCTCGGAAAAGAAGAGAACCGATCTTCCAATTAACCCTGCCACATTCTTCGGCTGTTTTTTTCACCTAATCGCATTCCCAGGCTTTTACCTCTGCCTCGCTCGTTCGACGGATCCACGTTGGAACATGTATCTGTACGTTTAACCGTTAAATTACGTTGAACTGCAAGGAAATGAATAGAGATAATAAATCAATTGAAATCTCGATAGACGCTCGATACTCTTGGAGTATCTACGAGGAAATGTGGAAAAACCGCCATTAACACTAGAACTACCAGAGAACCGAACTGCTGGTACTATGCACCGTCGAAAAGATTGTGACCTTGAAAATTTGTTTAAAAAAAATGACCTTGAAAAAGGGACCTTGAAGGGAACAATCACACCCTTCTTCTTTACTTTTCAAATCGTTTCGAGTACGTAATAACGATAATGACGAAATAAGGAAACTGGCACCCGCCATTTTGACGGGCGCGGCGGTTCTAGTGTTACAGGCGGCGATGAACTCTTTGACCGTTCAAGCTGATCGCAGCGAAAAACGTAAGGCCAAGCGACCGGTCGTGTAGGTTCGAATCTTGAAAAAGAAACAGTAGCAAACAGGTCCCGAAGAGACGCGTTTAACGCTCGATTTACGAAACAAGCCAATTTCATTCATACTCAACATCCTAAACATTATTATTCGGGAAACGATTGGGTCGGTTTAGATCGACGCAGATGCGCACATATGTATAATTGTTTGCTTTTAAACCTGCAACTTCCAGAACTCAAATGAATATCGATGTTCCTAAGGATAATAAAACAAACCGTACACAGACAAAAGCGGGATCGTAAAGTCGGACGGTCGACAGACACAGTCGTAATCCCCGAATAATATCGATCAGTCCCCGACCAGTAATCTGCTTATTTAACGCTTCGTGTGGCGCAACTTTTGGCTTCGCCCTGGAGATTAGTCATCGCGCTAACGCCCTGTGTAGCACGGATTTGGATAGAGCCCGTGAGATTCGAGAGGACGACGGGGAATCCCGATTCCGTTCGAACGGAAAGATCTTCGACATTTTCAGCATCGTTTAACGTTCAACCCTCAAACGACTTTTCCACTGTTTGTTCAAGTGCAACGTGTACTATGACAGTTTGAGAGACTCAAACCCATTGCGAGTTTCTGATTACTCTGAAAGATCTGTATCAACGACCCTACGAGGTTAACATTAACCTTACCGATACTTTGTATATACCTATTCCCACCGTAACCAATCGAATAACTAAACAAGTATAAAAGCTAAACAAATTCGACGAGAAATGTTTCTCACCGAAGACAGGAACAAAGAAAGAGAATCATTAAGAAACTGATTAATCAGGCAACGTAGGGAGATAAAGTGAAACGAACGAAAGAGATTAGTATTAACCCTTTGCACTCGAGAGGTGACTCTCACTCACCACTTAATTTCATACAGTAAAACTCTAAAATTTGATATTTAACGTGTGATTTCTCATCGCCTCAGTCTCACAAAATACCGATTTTATCTGATCAGAAAAGGTTAAAATATTTCTAGTGAAAAACTTCCGAGCGCAAAGGGTTAAAATACCCGGTTATCGGTACGAATCGTCTCAGAATCATCGTTGTTCGCCATTTCTCACGGCGATAGGTGTTACACGGCCCACCAGAACACCTGTCATTGTCCGAGACACGCGCGCCGACCGGGCCGTGTGTGTAACGACTTTGACAAGATTCTTGCGTCACCTGGGTCAGATATTTTCGGTGGTCGCGTGGCGTTAAACCCTCGGCCGAGGCTCGGCCGTGTTATCTAACACGCCCCGCGCCCTCTTTTGGCACGGCCCGGGGGGGCCGCATAGCGAGAACTCCCGATGAACATTCCTGGCAACCGAGGGATCGGCGTAGGGTACCAAGCCAACCGTTCAACACCGCCGCGCGAACTCTCCCGCGCTACGCAAATACCTTTTTATTAATGTCCGCCCGTGTATCTCGCATATTTCTTGCGTCAAACGGACGGACCGTGTCGTCACGCCTCCTCTGTTTGTTTAGAGCGCCGTTTCCATCGCGATATCGAGACGCGGACGCGACGGTATTATTAGCTTGTCCTCAGGTTCCTACGTGAAATCGAATTTCTTCTGCGTGCGGATCCGGGGAGACTCGAAAGAAGATCTTTCTTGAGTCACGGATTAAACGGGGGTGCGAAGTATCATTGAACCTTGATAGGACCTTTAACAGCTCACGCTGAAAGGAGTACCTTCGGAGTTTTATCCGGGGGTTAGAAACAGTCGCGAAGAACCGAAATAAAGTCATAAAGTTACTCGATGTCACAACTCCAGATGGAATTTACGGTTCAGAAGAATCTCCGAGTCGACGCACAAAAATCGAAGGTTGTGTCGCTGAGTAATCCCTGCTATACGGAACGACGTCCATTTGGAAAATCAAGTTTCGAGATCGTGGAAGAAGAGTCTGTCCGTCTCGGACGAACCGGACGTCGAGTATTCGCAGTTTCTTGGCTAGATCTAGGACAGAAGATGAACCGAATGAATGTCAAAAGTATTTCAAAATTAGAACCGAGTATCGAGCGCGAGTTTCTGGTGAACCGAGCGCCTGAGACGTCGGGCTACCTTGTCCCCTGTTCTATTTCTCTCCGATGAACTTGCGTCCGTAGAAGCTTCTGGCTAGTTTCCGAATCGGTTAAAATCGAATGCCCTGCCGAACGACGCTGGGCGTATTGAACACCGGGTGCTCTCTTGATTCCAGGAGTGCAAAGCGAAGAGGAGCTAGAGGTGCCACCGGAGGATCTGTGTCGACCGTACATTGAGAAGGCGTTGAAGGATCTCGGTACAGGTAATGTTTGGGTGGTGAGAGGCGCGCGCGACCGGGAGCACAGCGATTTCTAGAACGTTTCGTTTGAAGGATCTTTGGAGCAGACCAGTGCCGAGGTTGGGACAGACGCCGATAAAGAGAGCCACGAAGATGCCGAGAAACCAGCGAGCGAAGAGGTGAGGCGTCCGCTCCGAACTGAAACTATCGTGAGCTGTCGATGTCGCCTTTAAAATGGACGTTGCGTCCGGATTCTTATTCTATCGTTGCTGGGATAATTGCCGTTCGTTCGTTTAGATCTTGGACATTGGAGGCCTGAAAATAAACAGTTCGTCAAAAGAATGTTCACGAAATTCCGTGGACTTAGCGTTGTCCACTCGGGAATGCTCTCGACAGCTCGCGATTTCAGTAAACAGACGCGTATCCTTAGACCGGTCCAGGTGATACGAGCGTCGCCGATTCGGTTCCAGGGTGGCGAGCCAACAGCCGACGTTTCGAAAGAGGATTTGGCAGCGGAGGGCGAGCCGGAGTCGGTAGAGGCTGCGTCTGCTCCGGAGAGCGCCGAGCAAGCCGAAGACGAGGCTGGCAAGTCGGCGGAAGCCGACCAGAGCGCCGAAGCCGCGGCAGAGGCGAGTGCTGAGGCCGACGGAGGTGAGGAACCGGTGCACTCGTAACGACATTAGGAACGAATCACGACCGAAACATTAACTCTTCGCAGTGGAGCGCGGTAATTCGAGGTTCGACACCGAAAATCGAAAGGTGATGCGTGATTTCTCCAAATTGCGAGAGATTAATGCGGTTCTCTTCTTTCCTAATGATTCTAGACTTCGATGCGTATTTGCAAGAGGTCGAGAGACTGCAAAGATATACAAGTTACCATGAAACTTAAACAACAGTTTAGCGTAATGATACCTTGTATATTATTCTTGCACGAGAATGCTTTGAACATCCGAAAATCTGAAATCGCGAATGTATCGTGGCTTCGCCAGATGGGTCCGAGCAGAAATCCGGCGAAGCGGGAACGGAGGAGGACAAAGACGAGTCCCCCGAGAAAGCGGACGAGGCCGCGGACTCCGGACAGGAACAGTCCGCCGAGGAGGCAGACGTGAAGTCCGGGGAGGAAGCGGAAGACGCGAAGTCCGAGGAGGCGCAGACGGAGGAAGAGAAATCCGCGGAGCAGCAGGAGGAGGAGGAGGACGGGAAAACGGAGGAAACGCAGACGGAGGAGGAGAAGTCCGGCGAGGCGGCCGAAGCCGACGAGGGCAAGTCCGACGAGGAGGGTCGAGCCGAGGATGACCAGTCCAACGAAGAGGCTGAGGCGCAGGGCGAATCGGCCGAAGCGAAACCCGACGAGGAGAAATCCGACGAAGCTACTACCGGCGAGGTGAAATCCGAGGAAGCGACGAGCGCGGAGGAAGCGGCGAGCGCGGACGAGGCGGAGGGAGCCTCCAAAGAGGAGGCGGAAGAAGCTTCCAAAGAGGAGGCAGAGGAGGGAGCTTCCAAAGAGGAGGCGGAAGGAGCTTCCGCGGAAGCTGCGAGCGGAGAGGAGAGCAAGGCGGACGAGACAGCCGAGTCGCAGGAGCAGCCGGCGAGCGAGGAGGAAGCTAAAGACAGCAAAGAGGGCGAGGGCGAGGGCGAGAGCGCGGATCAGACTGAAAGCGGCGAGGCTCAAGCCGAAAGCGCCGAGGCGCAGACGGAAGAAGCGAAGGAGAGCGAGGAGGAAGCTAAAGAGGAATCCGCGGAAGGCGAAGCAGCGAAATCGGAGGAGGACGCGGCCAGCGAGGCAGCGGCCAAGTCCGAGGAAGAGGAGGAGGCTAAGTCCGCCGAAGAGGAAGGCAAGTCCGAGGCGGCGGAGTCCGCGGAAGAAGCGAAGTCGGAGGAAGAGGGAGCCGAAGCAACGAAATCTCGAGCCAGACGAGAGGTCGGCGAGGAGGGCGACGCCGAGAGCGCCGAGGCGGAAGCGGAAGGCTCCGAAGAGGCGGCTAAGAGCGAGGAGGAACCCACCCCCGAGGAAGACCTGATCAAGGAGATCGTGGTGCCGGAGAACCTGCGGCCGCGCGATCACATCAACCAGCTGCTGAAGCTCGACGAGGAGAACGAGGAGAAGGAGCGAGCGATCGACAGGAACAGCGACAGCGTGCTCAAGGAGCTGAAGAGGGTCTACGACAACGCGATACAGCCGCTGGAGTCCTTGTACAAGTACAGGGACCTGAGCAACAGACACTTTGGCGGTGAGTACGCGCTAACGTTCTCACCGATGGGCGGCTCGCTCGTTCGTTCTCTTGGTGGATTTCTCGGACGATTTCTAAAGGCTGTTCAACGCTTTTAGCCGCAAGCTACCGCGATAGTTAACGCGCGCTGTTCGTTATGTATCTTCAGATCCAGAGATATTCTCGAAGCCGCTGGTCCTGTTCATGGGTCCGTGGAGCGGCGGGAAGTCTTCCATCATAAATTACTTGGCCGACATCGAGTACAAACAAACGTCGTTACGGACAGG